TGGCATGATCTTGGCTCCCTGCAGCCTTTACCTCCCAGGTTCAAATGCTTATCCTGCCCCAGTCTCTCCAGTAGCTGGGACTACAGGCGTGTGCCACCACACTGGGCTAATTTTTGTATTTTTAAAATAGAGTCAGGGTTTCACCGTGTTGGCCAGGCAGGTCTTGAACTCCCAACCTCAAGTGATCTGCTCTCCTTGGCATCCCATAGTGCTGGTGTGAGCCACTGCACCGGGCCAATCCAAGACATTTATAACAAAAATTTTACCTAGGGGTGATTAAATACTTTTTGTTTAAGACTGGAATTGCCCACCAGACAGGTTTCTTCTCTGACAGAGTTGGTGTAAGACCAGAGACAAAATCTGTGGCCCTACAGCCGTTTACCACAGTGAGTGACTTGAACTCAGTCTGTGACCTACCCATGTCAGTGTGGCATGTTTCTCACAGTCACCTCTTAACCGGTTGATTGAAATGAGCTATGGAAAGAATGATGTATTTCAGATGTTGAATATGAGGTACATGTTCAAGAAATTCATACACCTTCTCTCTTCTCAGCTCATACATGGGCTGTAGAAGTTATGTGGCAGGTGTTTAGGAACAACTGCATTTAGCTTACTTGTTTACCTTCTGTTCCTGCCACATTTCTTTATTTGGTTTCTTACAAAAGATCATGTTCTTAAACTATGCATTGTAAACCAGCAGTAGTTCACAGGTGCCAGACCTGCACTTGGATACCCTAGGGCCATTCAGAGGGTACTGATGACTGATGTGCTGGGTGTGATTTAACTTTTGCAGCATTTGATGAGCTTGTTGGAGCATACCAAGAGCAGGCCAGAGGACTTCTGGATGGCGGGGTTGATATCTTACTCATTGAAACTATTTTTGATACTGCCAATGCCAAGGTGAGTTAAGGGAGAAAAAACAGACGGCTGGGGTGAGGGCTATGGGTGAGTCCCCTAATGTAGGGAGAAGATAATATTAGCCATTATCAAAGTTAAATAAATTACCTGTATTTGCTCCATTTTATTCTTGAATATTTTTAACTGAGGCCAGTACAATAAGAAAAACTTTAAAAAATCTGCTTTTGAAGCTTTTAAAGTAACTTTTTCTAATTAGGAAAATAAATATTTTCACATATAGCTACTCTAAGTGCATATGTCCCTAGGTAATAAATACATGCTGCTGGTTCTAAATTTGAAAGATACATAAATATATGGAGTGAAAAGTGAATGTCTTTTCCTTTCCTTTCCTAGTGTCTAGTTATCTAGCTCCCTTTCCAGAGACAACTATAGTTACCAGTTTGGGGGTCCTGACAGATGCTATGCAGATATAAGCATGCATGTACGTGTGTGTGTGTGTGTGTGTGTGTGTGTGTGTGTGTGTTCCTTACATATATGCAAAGGCACTTAAGTGTATGGGGAGAGAAGCAAATATGCTTATACATATGTTTTTATACAGCATATCTATAGGATACATTTCTACAAGTCAAATTGCTGAATGAGAGGGTATGTGCATTGGTAATTTTTGTCTTTAATGTCAAATTACTCTCTTTTGAGACTGGACTCATTTATACGCCCTTCAGCAAACAGCATGCAATAGTGCTGGTTTCACGACACCCTTGCTAGCACTGTTTGACCTTTTTCAGTTTGACATGTGGTCCCTCACTGTAGTTTTAACTTGTGTATTTCTTGAGCATCTTTCTTTAGTTTTAGAGCCATTTATATTTCTTTTTCTATGGTTATGTCTTCTGTCCTTTTTTCTATTGGACTTTGGCTTTTTAAAATTGAGTCATTTACTGAGGAAATCAGGTCCTTGTCAATCATGAGTAGCAATACTGTCCTCTGGCTTGTTTCACATTTGACTTTATTTTTGGTGGTGATGGTGGTAGTGTTGTGGTATTGTTTTGTGTGTATGTGCGCTTTAATAGTATGGGAGATTTTTTCTTAAATGTTGTATGGTTGAATTTACAGATTCTTTTTTTTTTTGTGGGGGAAGAGGGGAGATTATACTTACAGAGGCACTCCTCAGTCAGAGAGAGGAAAAAAATGGAAAAATGGCCTTTTCCTTCCTAGTGTTTTACAGTTGCATTAACTGTTTAATTGTTGTGGAAATAAGACCACAGATCCAGAATTTTTAAACTTTAAAAAAAAATCATTTTCTAAAATATTTGCAAGCAGGAAGAAGGTAGAGAGCCACTACCAGCCTGAAGCTAGATGACTGACTACCCTACCTCACTCTTAACATATCACTTTTATTAGATTCTTTTTATAGATCTTTTTAGAAATTGTTTTGTGAACTCCAGTAAAGAAATTATAATTTTAAAAGGAATTCAGAAACACATTTTGAAAATAAGAGCAGTAACAAACAAGATAAGGAATATATTTGAAATGAGATTCATATATACCTTTGAAAAGAGCCACAGTATTGTTTAGATTAGAAAGAAGAGGGATTAACACACGGGGATAAAGCATTAAGGATAGGTTTTGTTGAGTTTCTAAGTTTTCAAATGTGTGGCATACATTCTTCTGATTATACAGCACTAGTTTCCCTCACGATGCATCTCGTGTTTATTTTGGAGTGAGAAATAAAATGGAGAGCTAACTTTTTCCCCCTAAAGTGTAGTTTTCCTTCCACTGTCTATTAAACATCCTGTTATTTCCCAGTGATAGGAATGATGTGGAGCATTATCCTTATCATCGAAAATTCTGGAGTGCATTTGGATCTAGAGTTTTCTAGTAATCTGTTTGCTGATGTGACACTACTGGACTATTAGCCATAACATTAGAATATGTCTGAGTAACTGGTAGGCCTAGATTTTTTAATTTTTATTGAGTCCCACCCCCTTTTCCAGAACTTTCATGGCTATTCTTATATGTTTGTTTTCCATAAGATCTTTAGGATCAATTTGTCTGGTTCTGATATTGTTGATTTAGTAACTTTCCATGAAAAAAGGAAATTCTGATATTGTGGATTTAGTAACTTTCCATGAAAAAAACCTACCATCACTGGAAAGGGACACATTAATTACAGGTTGCGTTCTGATTTCAGAGAATTAATTGTGAAAACATGCCTATCTTAGAATCAAGAACTGTAATGACAGAAAGAGAAGATCTGTTGCCTGGATCTTAAAATGTGGACAGAACAGCACAGAGTAACATGGGATTTGTACCTTTACTACCTAATCTAAGCTCATGCTGTTTTTCACAGTGCTGGAAGTGATGCTGTAGGTTCATATACTTAACCATGTATATGAAAGGATATGAAAGGCAGGGACATTATTCATTCATTCATTCATTCATTTATTTTTGAGACAGGGTCTTGCTCTGTCATCCGGGCTGGAATGCAGTGGCATGATCACAGCTTAGCTGCAACCTTGAACTCCTGGGCTCAGGCAGTTGTTCTCTCTCAGCCTCCCGAGTGTTATTTATTTACTTTTAATTTTTATTGAGAAAAGGAAGAAAGAATAGCTCTTCAGCCCCTCCTCAGAGGAAGTAGTTTCTAGGTGGACTTTAAGTCAGGATTTGTTTGATTTTATTTATTTATTTATTTATTTATTTTTGAGACGGAGTTTCGCTCCTGTTACCCAGGCTAGAGTGCAATGGCGCGATCTCGGCTCACCGCAACCTCTGCCTCCTGGGTTCAGGCAGTTCTCCTGCCTCAGCCTCCTGAGTGGCTGGGATTACAGGCACGCGCCACCATGCCCAGCTAATTTTTTGTATTTTTAGTAGAGACGGGGTTTCACCATGTTGACCAGGATGATCTCGATCTCTTGACCTCGTGATCCACCCGCCTCAGCCTCCCAAAGTGCTGGGATAACAGGCGTGAGCCACCGCGCCCGGCCCTGTTTTATTTTGATATGCACAGTATTACACTTGAGAAAGGGGTGCTGGGGTTGGGCCTTGTAAGGAAGACGCTTCTTCCTAGAGAGCTTGATGTCTATCTTCTCTGAAGAGGTCTTGGAAAAGGGTGCATTCTAATTGGTAAGTTATACTAACCTTGGACACAGTCTCAGAAATAAAGGCATTCTTCCTTTTTTCCCTGACAGGCAGCCTTGTTTGCACTCCAAAAACTTTTTGAGGAGACATATGCTCCCCGGCCTATCTTTGTAAGTTCTAAGGTGTTTTCACAGTACATTCTGTCTTTATTAATAATTGTCCTTTTGAGCATGTTTTCCCCCCTTGCATAGTAGAACTATTGATAGTATCTTTTAGAATTCATCTACTTTAACTGCTCCTGTTCACTTCCCTCCCACCACGTCTAGATCAATAACAGTCTTTTATCTGGAGAGGCAAGGAAAATGAATCTAGAAGTAGTTGGTAGAAGGCAAGCTGTTCAAAAGAAGCCCACTGTATTGGTCCTTGAAGTTAAAGACTTCAAGACTGATTAGGGCCTAAGGAGGCCTGGACTTGCATGCTGATGGCCACATAATCAGCACTGAAGACGCCAGACTGCCAGTTTATTAACTCAGTAGGCGTACCTCTCTGTGAGTCCTAAAATTGCTTGGTGAGAATTGAATTGAATCAAAACATGGGTGTTAGATAAATCCAGTGTTTAACAGCAGGAGGTCAGGATGACTTGAGGTTATCTCTGGGAAACCTGCCTCTAACGAGACTGGACATGTGGATTCCAAAGCTGTTTTGGTCATTGCTTTTGCCTCAGTGACTTTCCCTTGTCTCTGTTTCTGTGGCTTCTTGCCTCCTCCCTCAAGTCTCTTGGCATATGTCTATTCTAACTGTTATAGAAAGTGCCCCCTTTGATTTTGAGTTCCACAGCTCTTTTACTTGTAGAAGGACAAAGGCAGTCAGCTTGTTCATTTTATTTTGTCTTTATACCTATATTCTTAACTTGAGTCTGTATTGTTGACTTCGTTTACTTTGTCAATTCAGATTTCAGGGACGATTGTTGATAAAAGTGGCCGGACTCTTTCTGGACAGACAGGAGAGGCATTTGTCATCAGTGTGTCTCATGCAGACCCGCTCTGGTGAGTGATCCATCTTTCCTTGACTTCCTTTCTTTTTTAGGGAACCTTTTCTGATGGCTGTGGAATGTGACCTGGGAGGGGATTGCTTTCACATATTTTCACTGTACCACACTTCCGCTGTATTGACTTTTCTTTAAGTACTTTCAGATTTTTCCCTAAAGGAAGCAGAAGATCACTGGGTAAATGGGTCAATTTGAGGGACTGGGAGAGTTCTTATACTTCCAAATGGTTGCCTGTTTGTCTGTAGAGGTGCCCCTTATAGTTTGCAGTGCTTTGCAAATTTTAGGCCAGTGCCACTCCCTATTTATGAGGCAACCAGAAGCAATCTGTCTTGGAATAAAGTGGGAATTCTAAACCTTAGGTTTTTATCTGTAAAGCGAACACAGCACTTGGCACGGTGGTGTGTGCCTGTAGTCCCAGCTTCTGGGGGGTGGAGGCAGGAGGATCTCTTGAGGCCAGGGGTTGGAGGCTGTAGTATACTACGATAGCTCTGTGAATAACCACTGCATTTCAGTTTGGCCAACATAGCAGGACCCTTTCTCTAAAGAAGTAAATTAACATGACTTTCACAATCTATTTAAAAATCCCTATTTATATTTTTCATATCAAAATGTTTTAAATTGTGTACTTTGAGTGACATGGAAGAGCCTCTGAGTATGTATACTGTATTTTGCCTGGACTTTTTAAATTCCTGGGCTTTTTCCTTGTGTTCCTCTTGCCTGGAAGCTCTGCTGGTCTTCTTCCCCCTTCCCCCTCTTCCCTTCCTCCATACCCTTTCACTTTGTTGACTTCTTCTTAGCCTTTAAGACTTATCAGGAAACTTCCCTCTAGTGAACATTCCCCCTCTCATTAGCTCAGGTTGATGTGTTTGTTTACTTTTATTTTAGCCTTTGCTATAAAAAGTAAGAATAATGGACATTTGTTGAGAGTTTGCTGTGTTCCAGGCTCTGTTCTAAGAGTTTTACATGAGTTCTTTCTTTAATTCTGGCAATAACACCTTGAGGGCAGGTACTGGTATTAATGTACCCATTTTAACAAGAAGGGTACTGAGACTCAGAGGTTGTAACTTGCTCAAGGTGAAGTAAATAGAGGATCTGGGAAAGGAGCATACTGTTTACCACCGTATTAGATCACATTATACCAATTATGTGATGTTCTTTTTTTCACACTTAAATGTTTGTAATTACAGAGTGCATTTTACAGTTGACTTAATGTCATATTGTGATTTCTTAAAAGGTGCCATTAATTTAAAGTGCCTTAACAGATGTTTGATTGGGCCTGATAACTAAGAAAATCGTCATATTGAATTGGGTTGTCATGACCTATTTCACAGCTTATGAGTTTTTCCTGAGCAGTCTCTTCATCTTTATTTCTCTAGTACATAGAATTTTTGGCACATAGTAGGGATCTAATAAACATTTAACCAGAAAAACTGAAGATAGGAAATGTAGGGGTCTCTGAAGACACAAACATTATCTAGTTTATTTAAAATTTTTTTTGCCTGTCTGTGAATATTTCGAGCATTGCTTCCTTCGTTGTCTTTGTCTTTTCCCACCCCCTTTGCCAGGTCTTAGTTTGTTATGTGGTTAAGAAAATGATATTGTAATCGATATATGTTACTCATGATCTATTTGTCAAAACCCACAGAATATACAAAAAGAGAATGAACCCTAATGTAAACTATAGACTTTAGTTACTAATCATGTATTGATATTGGTTCACATTGTAATAGGTGTATCACACCAATGCAAGATTTTAATAATAATAGAATCTTTCCTAGCGGTTAGGTAAAACCTCTGTGTTGTCTTGAGTGTCATTGGAGCCTTTAGTTTGCCAACAGTTCTCAAGGGCCCCTTAGAGGACATTGTTCCTGCCACTGTCTCACCTGCAGGAGCCTTGAGATGAGGTTTTATTGCGGTCCAAATAATTTGTTTTTATTTCTTAAGAAACCGTTCAGTTAATTCTGACTTTTGATCCACTCAGTGGTTAAAAATTTTTAGGCCGGGCGCGGTGGCTCACGCCTGTTATCCCAGCTACTCAGGAGGCTGAGGCAAGAGAATTGCCTGAACCCAGGAGGCGGAGGTTACAGTGATCCGAGATTGCACCATTGCACTCCAGCCTGGGTAACGAGTGAAACTCCGTCTCAAAAAAAAAAAAATTTTTTTTAATAATCCTTTCTATGACTTCAACTATAGTCTACTCACAGAGAGAATGTATTTGGCCTTTATTTTGTTATGAATCTGACAGACTGTAGGAGCAGATAGAAGGAGCAAATAATATGTGAGAAGGACACATTCTTACATAAATGTAAGAAACTGTTGCTTACAGATTTGTGATTATCACAAACTATAGAACAGTGGGATAGAACCTTTATATTACTGCTAATTTATTGAAATACTACTATATGCCCTGGAATACAGGCCAATGTGGAATAGTCCACACTAGGAGAAATGCATAAGTAAGTTAAAATATAAAATACACAGTGCTGTACAGAACTATGAATAAAAATCTGGCAATACATAGGAGTAGTGGAGTTCTTGTGGGATTAGAGACAGCTTTGAGCTAGGTTTTAAAAACATGAGACACAGTTTTCTAATCAAAGAAAGGATGGATGTATCCAAGTAAGGTCATAGCAGTGGAAGAACTGTATAGTTTATAAGACATTTTCTTTTTTTTGAGTTTTTATTTTTCTTATTTTTGTGTTTTGATTTCCAACTTTTAAGTTCAGGGGTATATGTACAAGATGTGCAGGTGTGTGACATAGGTAACATGTAACCATAACATGTAACATGGTGTTTTGCTGCACAGATATCCCATCACCTAGTTATTAAGCACAGCATCCATTAGCTATTCTTCCTGATGCTCTCCCTCCTCCTAACCCCTACCTTCTGACAGCCCCAGTGTGTGTTGTTCCCCACGATGTGTCCACGTGTTCTCATCATTCAACTCCCACTTATAAGTGAGAACATGCAGAATTTGGTTTTCTGTTCCTGCATTAGTTTGCCCAGGAAAATGGCTTCCAGTTCCATCCATGTTCCTGGAACAGGATCTCGTTCCTTTTAATGGCTGCATAGTATTCCATGGTGTCCATATAGTACATTTTCTTTACCCAGTCTATCATTGATGGGCATTTAGGTTAATTTTGTGTTATAAGACACTTTCATATATGGTATTTAATTTGAACTTTATATTAATTAACCCTGAGAACTGATCAGGCATTATTTTCTTCATTCAACATATAAATAATTGAAGTCACCTAACTAATGAAAATATGAATTAATATTGGAACTAGGTTTGGGGAAAATGTCTAGGATCCTTTCTTTTTTTTGAGACGGAGTTTCGCTCTTGTTACCCAGGCTGGAGTGTAATGGCCCGATCTCGGCTCACTGCAACCTCTGCCTCCTGGGTTCGGGCAATTCTCCTGCCTCAGCCTCCTGAGTAGCTGGGATTACAGGCATGTGCCACCATGACCAGCTAATTTTTTGTATTTTTAGTAGAGACGGGGTTTCACCATGTTGACCAGGATGGTCTCGATCTCTTGACCTCATGATCCACCCACCTCGGCCTCCCAAAGTGCTGGGATTATAGGCTTGAGCCACCGCACCCGGCCCCTAGGATCCTTTCTAACAATAACATGATGATTTAACATTTTTTGTTTTTTGAGACATAGTCTCACTCTGTCACCCAGGCTGGAGTGCAGTGACATCATCTCGGCTCACTGCAACTTCCACCCTCTGGGTTCAAGTGATTCTTCTTCCTCAGCCACTGTGTAGCTGGGATTATAAGTGTGTGCCACCATGCCCAGCTAGTTTTTGTATTTTTAATAGAGATAAGGTTTTACCATGTTGACCAGGCTGGCCTTGAACTGCTGGCTTCAGGTGATCTGCCTGCCTCAGCCTTCCAAAGTTGCTGGGGTGACAGGTGTCAACCACCACACCCAGTCAGGTTTTTCATTTTTATCTGATGTTGAGTCCGATGACAGTAGCGTAAGATTTTTTTTTTTAAAAGAGAATATTTGAAGGGGAACAGGTAAAAGAACAAAACTGAGTAGGTCTATTCAAGGACTGTAAATTGGCCGTGCATTGGGCCTAGCAGTCTTAACTGAGATGTGATTCTGTCAGGCATTAAGGGTCACAGAATCGTGTTTATTTTAGATTAGTTTCAGGTTTTCAGAAAAATTGAGCAGAAAGTACAGAGAGTTCTCATATACTCTCCCACTCCAGTTCTCCTATTATCAACAGCTTGTTTTTGGTGTGGTACACCTATTACAGTATGAACCAATATCGATACGTTACTGTTAACCAAAGCCTATAGTTTACCTTAGGGTTCCTTCTTGGTTTTATATATTCCTTGGTTTTGTATATTCTATGGGTATTGAAAAATATATCCTGAGTAACATATATCCATTACAGTATCATACAGAATAGTTTCATTGACCTAAAATTCCCCTGCGCTCCATTTACTTACCCTCTTTCCCGGCTCGCTGGCAATGAATCTTTTCACTGTCTGTGGTTTTGCCTTTTCCAGAATGGAAAGACAGTTGAAACCACATAGTATGGAGCCTTTTCAGACTGGCTTTTTTCACTTAGTGATGTTCACTTAAGGTTCATTTGTCTTTGTAAGCTTGTTAGATCATTTCTTTTTAACACTAAATAATATTTCTTTGCGATGAAGTACTCCAGGTTTTTTTCCGTTTGCATATTGAAGACCATCTTGGTTGCTTCCAAGTTGTAGCAGTTATGAATAAAGTTCCATGGCCTTTCCGCGCTGCCCACAGAGGGCTCCATACGGCGTTGTTCTGGATTCCTGTCGTAACTTAAAGGGAAACTTTCACCATGTCTGGAGCCCTTGATGTCCTGCAAATGAAGGAGGAGGATGTCCTTAAGTTCCTGGCAGCGTGAACCCACTTAGGTGGCACCAATCTTGACTTCCAGCTGGAACAGTGTATCTGTAAAAGGAAAAGTGATGGCACCTACATCATAAATCTGAAGAGGACCTGGGAGAAGCTTCTGCTGGCAGCTCGTGCCATCGTTGCCATTGAAAACCCTGCTGATGTCAGTGTTACAGCCTCCAGGAATACTGGCCAGAGGGCCGTGCTGAAGTTCGCTCCTGCCACTGGAGCCACCCCAGTTGCTGGCCACTTCACTCCTGCAGCCTTCACCAGCCAGATCCAGGCAGCCTCCTGGGAGCCACTGCTTCCTGTGCTTACTAACTCGAGGGCTAACCAGCAGCTTCTCACAGAGGCAATTTTTCTTTGAGACGGAGTTTCACTCTTGTTGCCCAGACTGGAGTGCAGTGGCATGATCTCAGCTCACTGCAACCTCCGCCTCATGGAGGCATCTTATGTTAACCTACCAACCATTGCTCTGTGTAACACAGATTCTCCTCTACACTATGTAGACATTGCCATCCCATGCAACAACAAGGGAGCTCACTCAGTGGGTTTGATGTGGTGGATGCTGGCTCGGGAAGTTTTGTGCATGCCTGGCACCATTTCCCGTGAACACCTGGGGAGGTCATGCCTGATGTCTACTAATACAGAGATCCTGAAGAGATTGAAAAAGAAGAGCAGGCTGCTGCTGAAAAGGCTGTGACCAAGGAGGAATTTCGGGGCGAATGGACTCCTGCGGCTCCTGAGTTCACTGCTACTCAGCCTGAGGTTGCACACTGGTCTGAGGCGTGCAGGTTCCCTCTGTGCCTATGCAGCATTTCCTACTGAAGCCTGATGCACTCAGCCTGCCACGGAAGCCTGGTCTGCAGCTCCCACTGTTCAGGCGACTGGATGGGTAGGAGCAACCACTGAATGGTCTTAAGCTGTTCTTGTGTGGGCTCTTAAACAACATGGAAATAAGGTTGACAGAAAATAAACATCAGTTGCTTCAAAAAAAAAAAAAGTCCCATGAACATTTATGGCAGGTTTTTGTGTAGACATAAGTAGATTTCCATTCATTTGGGTAAATAACAAGGAGAGGATTGCTGGATCTTATGGTAAGACTGTGTGTCTTGTGAGAAACTGCCAAACTGTCTTCCAAAGCTGTTGTTGTATGTTGCACTCCCACCAGCAGTGAACGAGCGTTCCTGTTGTTCGCATCCTTCCCAGCATTTGGTGATGTCAGTTTTGGATTTTAGCCATTCTGATAGGTGTATAGTGATCTCTTGTTTTATTTGCAGTTCCTTAAAAACATATGATGATTTTGAGCGTCTTTTCATGTGTGTACTTGTCATCTGTATATCTTCTTTGGTGAGGGGTCTGTTCAGCTCTTTAGACAGTTTTTAAAATTGCATTTATTGTTGAATTTTAACAATTCGTTGTATATTTTGGATACAAGTCTGTCACAGTCTACTTTCTATTGCTATAACAGAGTACCTGAGACTGGGTAAATTTATAAAGAAAAGAGGTTTATTTAGCTCACAATTCTGGAGGCTGAGAACTTCAAAACTGAGTGGCCACATCTGGCAATGGCCATGGACTACTTCATAGCATGACCAAAAAGTGAAAAGGCATGTTAGCATGTGTGAAAGAGAGGGGACAAAAGAGACTGGCCTTCTTTATAACAGCCTGTTTTGAAAGAAGGGATTTATTCCCTTGAGAACTAATTCAGTCTCCAGGGAACTAACCTCAGTCTCTGGAGAAAGATGGTAATCCATCTTAATGATCTAATCACCTTGTAAAGGCCTCACCTTCCAACACTGTTACATTGGCAATTACATTTCAACATGAATTTTGGCGTGGACAAACCACATCCAAACCATAGCAAATCCTTTGTCAGATATGTGTTTTGCAAATACGTTCTCCTAGCCTGGGGTTTGTCTTCTCATGCTCTTAATACTGTCTTTCACCAAACAGTTTTAAATCTTAGTGAAGTTCAGGTTATCAAATTTTTTTTTTCATGGATCTTGCCTTTGGTGTCTTACCTAAAAACTCATTGCCAAACCCATGATCATCCAAATTTTTTTCTGTGTTATTTACAGAATTTTAATCGTTTTGCAATTTATATATAGGTCTGTCTTTCATTTTGAGTTCTTTTTGTGAAAGATGTAATGTCTGTGTCTAAATTAACTTTTTCAAATGCAGATGCCCAGTTGTTTCAGCACCATTTATTGAAAAGAATTTCCTTTCTCCATTGGATTGTCTTTGTTTCTGTCGAAGATTAGTTGAATATATTTGTGTGGTTTTCTTTCTGGACTCTATTCAGTATTTGTCTCTTCTTTCACCAACTCCACACTGTCTTGATTGCTTTAGCTTTTTAGTAAGTCTTGGAGTCGGTAGGTCAGTCCTTCAACTTTTGTTCTTTTCTCTTGTTATTGTGTTGGCTATTCTGGGACTTTTGCCTTGCCATATAAACTTTAGAATCAGTTTGTTGATATTCACAAAATAACTGCTGGGATTTTCGTTGGGGTTGTGTTGAATATAGATCAAGTGAGAGAATTGACATCTTAACAATATTAAGTCTTCCTGTTCATAAACTTGAAATACCTTTTCATTTATGTAGATTCACTTTGATGTCTTAAATTGGAATTTTATAGTTTTTTCATATAGATCCAATTTTATAGTTTTTTTTCAAATGATCCAATATAATTTGTTTTTGTGCTAGAGTAAATGGTTTGGTGGGGTTTTTCTTTCCCTCCCCCCCCGCAAGACAGGGCCTCACTGTGTCACTCAAGCTGGAGTGCAGTGGCACGATCATGGCTCACTGTAGCCTCAACCTCCCAAATTTCGTTGATCTGCTACCTTAGTCTCCTAAATAACTGAGACTATAGGTGTACTCCAGCACATGTGGTTAATTTTTTTTTTTTTTTTTTTGCAGAGGTGGGGTTTTGCTGTCAAACTCCTGGGCTCAAGTGATCCACCTGCCTTAGCCTACCACATGCTGAGATTACAGGCATGAGCCACTATGCCTAGCCTATGTTTCTAATTTCAAATTTTGGTTGCTCGTATCTGGTATATAAGTAAACAGTTTTTGTGTATTTACCTCATATTTTGAAACCTTGGTATAATTGCGTATTAGCTCAAGGAGTTTTTAGTGATTCTTTGGGATTTTCTACGTAGACAGTCATGTCATTTGTGAGCAAAGACAGTTTTATTTCTTCCTTTCCAATTCGTACGTATACCTTTTTCTTTCTATCTTTTCTTATTGCATAGGACTTCATATATGATACTGAATAAGAGATGAGAGTGGAAATCCTTGCCTTATTTCTCATCTTAGCAGGAAAGCATCTAGTTTCACATGATTAAGCATGATATTAGCTGGAAGTTTTTTGTGGATATTCTTTATCAAGTCAAGGAAATTTCCCCCATTCCTAGTTTGCTGAATTTTTTTAATGAATGGGTATTGGATGTTTGTTTGTTAAAGAAACTTAATTTTGGAATAATTTCAGATTTACAGAAAAATTGCAAAGATAGTGCATAGAATTTCTGTATATTCTTCTAGTTTTCATGTTAACATTTTGCATAACTATGGTACTTTTGTAAAAACTAAGAGTATATTACTATAAGTTGAGTATCTCTTATCTGAAATGCTTGGGATGCCACCTTGCAGTTAGGAATCACAATACAAGGAAAAAAGTAAAATACGAAAACATTAGGGATCACATAGTCTAGTAGCTTCATAGTTGATTCATAAATTCTGGAAGATCTCAGGCCCATCACCCACCAGCAGCTTTGTAGGATAGCAGGGACTGTACCTGTGGGGCAGGCACTAAATCCTGGTCTTCTGGACTTTAAGGGTGGCTTCTTTCTACCATTCCATGTTCCTTCTACCTCAAAGATTTCCTTTTCCCTTCTTTTAAATGTTGCTTTCAAGTCAGATCTTTTTTTTAGCAGTGTTAGTTTGCTGACATTTTTGTCCCACAGTTTACCATTGCTAATCTGTGAACTGATTTATAGACTCCATCCATAGGCAGGGTCCTTCAGCTGTGAGATTATCTGAAGATGGAGACGTTGGCAAAAATATCTAGTGCTGCAGGGGACCTCAATGAGATGGCTTTGTTGGTAGTTGAATAAAAGTTCTTTGAATGAGGATATTTATTATCCACTTTGTCTCAGATATATTGTCTCTGAATATAACTTCTGTATGAATAAATATTATGAATGAAAGTTGATGCTTCTAATACTTTTTTCTGTTTTTCTAGCATTGGATTAAATTGTGCTTTGGGTGCAGCTGAAATGAGACCTTTTATTGAAATAATTGGAAAATGTACAACAGCCTATGTCCTCTGTTATCCCAATGCAGGTATGTGTTTCAAGGGGGTCACACATGGGGAGATAAAAATAGCGTAAGACATGAGGTAGATGAGGTAAGAGATCTTGATTTAAAAAGCTTGTTTTGTAGGTAGTATAGTTGACACTTAACAGGAATGTTCTAAGTGCAGACCAGTGTTTCCCTGTAGACCTGAGGGAAGTTCGCTCAGCCTGAAGCTTCAGAATAGGACATAACTTTTGGGCATGAGCCTAGTCACATAACTGACCAGAGCCTTGCCTTTGGTGACAGTGTAAGCATGGTGGAGGTGACCAGAAAGATGGGTATTAAAGAAGAGAAGAGTGACCCTTTTTCTCTGTTAGTAGAAGAGCAGAAGAAGAATCTTGTGTGGTGTTACCTTTTTCTTCTCTGAAAGCTAGAACTTGCAGTTTATCATATGTAAATGTTTTGAAGATATTTGTACACAGTTCTCAACCTGTTGCATTAAATATTCGTGATTTGTTCCGGGTTAACCAGATTTCCCTGTGAATGTATTTGAGTGCTGCTTAGCTACTTAGAGCTTAAAGTCATTTCCCAGCCTTCTTTCTCAAAATATATCATTTTAATGCACAATAAATTTTATTTCCCACCAGGAGTAAGATAACTGGAAGCAGATAATAAATAAAACAAGAAATTGGATGGTTATCAGCCAAATTCTTACTTGGAAACATTTATTTGAAAGGAGACTGGTTGATTTTTGTTTGTTTTTAATGACATGTTAGTTGCTCATTAGTTGAGAGGTTATGCAGCATTCCTTCCACTCCCACCCCTAAGCGACTAGTAACAAGAATGAATTTCCCTTATGAGAAGGAGTGGGGCTTGGGGCATTCTGTTTTGCCTAACAGTGAATAGAATCTTTTCTTTCAAATGGAAAAGAAATCATGAAGTTCATTTTCCACTGTGATTTTTAAAAAGTTTTTGGGGGGTGTCTCTGTGTTGACTATAAATGTTATGTGTTTGTTTTTGCAAGTAATCACCATTTAATATAAATGTAAAATTATTTGGTTATCAACTTGAAGTCTTTACAAATGCTGTGTATATTTGTTAAGGCAATTTGCAATAATGGTTGAATTTTCCTTTCTCAGGTCTTCCCAACACCTTTGGTGACTATGATGAAACACCCTCTATGATGGCCAAGCACCTAAAGGTCAGGGATCCTCTTTCACTTGGCTTTTTAAGAGAGACTGAATTTTAGATTCAGAGTGTTTAGAAGGAGAATTTTCCCCTGAAGAAATCCCAATGTACATACAACAAAGAAAGGCTTACCCCAAATTAAGGTAGTAGAGGCACAGGGAAGGGCTGTCAGCGTCCTTATCCTCAACTGGCACTGGTGGCTGCTGGAAAATTCCCATTGAGGTTCACTCTAAACTAATTGAGACTTGGCTCTTCTCCGAGACATTGCTTCCCCTGCAACCTTCCCAAATTGTGACTTTCTGCCCTCACAACCCTCAGACTTCTGGGGGCATTATCACCTCCATCTGTTCTCACACCCCTCAGACAATGGGGGCATTGTCACCTCCATCACTCTCCCTGTTTGTCACGCACCTGCCATTGTTTACTCCTTGGTCATGAGACCATACTGTCCACTGCCACTTCTTTTTTTTTTTTGAGATGGAGTTTCACTGTTGTTACCCAGACTGGAGTGCAATGGCACGATCTCGGCTCACCACAACCTCTGCCTTCTGGGTTCAAGCAATTCTCCTGCCTCAGCCTCTTGAGTAGGTGGGACCACAGGCGTGCACCACCATGTCCAGCTAATTTTTATATTTTAGTAGAGACCGGGTTTCACCTTGTTGACCAGGATGGTCTCGATCTCTTGACCTCGTGATCCACCTGCCTCGGCCTCCCAAAGTCCTGAGATTATAGGTGTGAGCCACCGCGCCCGGCCACACTGCCACTTCTTATTGTACTTACCTGCTAATCCCTGGGCTTCTTTCCCCTTGTTCTTTGAATTTTTAGCTTCTGTTTCACTGACATTCTCTCTTAAACTATTTCTTTTTTTTTTTTGAGATGGAGTTTCGCTCTTGTTACCCAGGCTGGAGTGCAATGGCATGATCTTGGCTCACCGCAACCTCTGCCTCTTGGGTTCAGGCAATTCTCCTGCCTTAGCCTCCCGAGTAGCTGGGATTATAGGCATGTGCCACCATGACCAGCTAATTTTTTTTTTTTGTATTTTTAGTAGAAATGGGGTTTCACGATGTTGACCAGGATGGTCTCAATCTTTTGACCTTGTCATCCACCCACCTCAGCCTCCCAAAGTGCTGGGATTACAGGCTTGAGCCACCACGCCTGGCCTCTCCTAAACTATTTCTGACTTACTTATGATTTCATTATCTTTGTAGACGATCTTTCCAGTACTCTTGCTCTGCTCCTTGACATTGTCCTTTATTCAATAGCCTATAGTTAAACTCTAGACTCATGCTGTCCCCTATGTAACCACTACTATATGGTTTTTGGAGCCCTTGAATTGTGGCCAATGTGACAGAGGAACTGAATTGTTATTTAAACATTTTTAAATTAATGTAAATTTAAAAACCTATACTCTATTTTGTGTTATTTGAAAATGCATTATCCATCTCACATTCATTCAGCTCAGCATATGGGTAAAAAAAAATCATTAGATAGGCAAATCTCCCACTGAATTTTATCTTTTGTTTCTATGTTTTTGAGAAAGAGTCTTGCATTGTTGCTCAGGCTGAAGTTCAGTGGTGTGATCATAGCTGAGTCTATCTTCGAACTCCTGGGCTCAAGCAATCCTCCCAGCTAGCCTCCTGAGTAGCTGGTACTATAGAAAAATGCCACTATGCCCAGCTAATTTAAAATTTTTTTGTAGAGATGGGGTCTTGCTATGTTTCCCAGGCTGGTCTCAAACTCCTGGCCTCAAGTGATTCTCCTGCCTTGGCCTCCCAAAGTGCTGAGATTACAGGTTTGAACCTCTATACCCATCCTCTCACTGCATTTTAAATGGTATAAAGGATTTCACAGCATTTGAACTATTCTTTGCTTTTATCCTTTGTCTAGGGTATGTGACATCTTTATATCTAGAGTTAAGTGTGTTTAACTTCGTTTTTAGTGTAGCGTCTTATTCAGGAAGTACAGAGGCTTTTATATTGAATTGGCGGTAATGAGTTTAGAATTCAGATGAACTTGCTCAAACTTTGTCTTTTCCTAAATGCAGGATTTTGCTATGGATGGCTTGGTCAATATAGTTGGAGGATGCTGTGGTTCAACACCAGATCATATCAGGTAATAATCACCTATAGACAATATATCTAAAAGCAAATGGATAATAAGGTAATAATCTAAAGATATACCTTTGTTATGGACTGAATTGTGTCCTTCCAAAATTTGTATATTGAACTTCTAACCTTTACTATTTCAGAATGTGGCTGAATTTGGAGATAAGACCTTTAAAGAGGTGACTAGGGTAAAATGAGGCCATATAGGTATACCTAATCTGATATGATTGGTGTCCTTTTAAGAACAGGGCACAAATGTGCACACAGAGGCAAGACCATGTAAAGACAAAGGAAAGAAATAGCTATTTACAAGCCAAGGGAGAGGCCTTAAAATAAACTAACCCTGCTGACACCTTCAACTCAGATTGTGAGAAAATAAACTTCTGTTATTTAAGCTGCCATAACACAATCTTGGGCACTTTGTTATTGCAGCCCTTCCTAATAAGTTCATACATCTTTATATTATGAAAAATTTTAGAGAAATAATGAAATGGACCTCTATATGCCTATCACGTAGTTGCCATACTTTTCAGTGTTTCTCGATTCTTATATCATCTGTTCCTCAACTTTTCCCGCTGGATTTTGTAAAGCAAATCCCAGATATTATGATATTCTATCCTTAAATACCTGAGTAATATTTGAATGCTCAAAGAGGACAGCTCATATTTATCGTGGGCAAATACAGGCCTCCTTTAGATTCCATTATGGAAGGAAAAGACAATAAGACCACAGGTATCTTGAGGTCAGGAAAGGTGTCTTCACTTTGCATGGTACATGGTGGTTGCTTAATTTGTTTTCAAGTGAGTGTATGAAGGAAGGGAGTGAAACGAGCATGACCATGTGTTTAACTCCTTAGAGTTTTATAGCTTATAGGAAGATTGGAATTCAATGAAATGGAACATTGTTTAGAACTGTTGATATTTGTTTTTTCCCTGGAGTGACTGATGATCATATTTCAAGCCAGTCATCTCACTGTTCAAGTCTGTTTTCTTTTTTTTTTTTGAGATGGAGTCTGGGTCTGTTGCCAGGCCAGAGTGCTGGAGTGCAGTGGTGGGATCTCGGCTCACTGCAACATCCACCTCCCAGGTTCAAGCGATTCTCCTGCCTCAGCCTCCCGAGTAGCTGGGACTACAGGGGCGCACCACCACGCCTCGCTAATTTTCGTATTTTTAATAGAGACAGGGTTTCACCATGTTAGCCAGGATCGTCTCAATCTCTTGCCCTCGTGATTGGCCTGCCTCAGCCTCCCAAAGTGCTGGGATTACAGGTGTGAGCCACTACGCCTGGCCTCCAAGTTTGTTTTCATGTGTATAATGTGTTCACTCTACTGAGTTACCTTATAACTCACTGCTTTTGTTGACTGAAAACTCACTGCTTTTGTTGACTGATGTGATAGACTCTTAATAGTTTTTAAAATACCTTGTAAATAATATCTGAAAGCCATCAGTAGTTAAATGTCACTTATCTTTGGGTCAACAACTATCTCTTTTTGTTGTTGTTTTCTCTTTAAAAAGAGGAGTTGTTTTAAATGTCTGTGTGTATGTTTGTTAAATGTCCGTGTGTTTGTTTTAAATGTCTGTGTATGTTTGTGTGTATCTATGTCTATGTTTGTCTGTATATATATTTGCTTCTTAGATGTTCATATTCTAATTTGGGGACAATAGAGGAGAGCAATTCTTACTGGTCCTGACAAATTTAGTGGAGTAGCCAGATTTTTCTGGTTGATCAAAGACACGATTCATTAAAACTGATAAGGTTAAAGAGAGTGTGAATGACTAAAACAAATCTTTGAGAGTAATTATTTTGGAGTTTTAGTGCTTTATGGCTATGTACCCACCCTCACCCCGCTGCAACTGTGTGTGTTTTGTAGTAAAAGTAGATCCGCTAGACCTAATTCCCTCCATTCCTAGCCCCTCTGCTCCTGCCTGCTCCTTCTTGTCAAAAAGGTGAAGCCCTTTTTCTCTTCATATTTTGAGTAGGAATGTGTTTATGTGGATTTGACAGAGTAAAAGACATCTGTGGATTTGGGGAAGATGGGAAGAATTTTGCTGTTTGCATTCGTGAAACTGTCACGTAGCTCCAGGTTCACGATTCAGAAAGTAAAAACAACCCAGCCAGCGCATAGCAGACAGGCAGGCACATAAAAGTTACAGTTTATATGCACCTCCATACTAGATTGTAAGAAAAAAAAAGTTACAGTTTATAGATTAATTTTCTGCATTGCTGAGAAAACGAAAAGGCATAATTGTTGCTGCGCATTTGGAAGTAGGTATATAATTATATGTATAATTATATTAAATAGACATAGTTTCATCATTCCAATTAGTTTTGAAAGTAGCTTCATTAAATATATTTTATTCTGGATTAATGGATATAGTGTTTTCTTTTTCAACTCAGGGAAATTGCTGAAGCTGTGAAAAATTGCAAGCCTAGAGTTCCACCTGATGCTGTTTTTGAAGGACATATGTTACTGTCTGGTAAGTCATAAAGACGTGGTGTTCATGATTTCAGAAACCATTTGTAGAATGTGATTATTCTAAGTGGCAGTGATATTTGTGCTTGCTTACTATGTCAGAGAAGAGTATATACATTCTTGGCAGTTAAATGAATTCTAGTGAAGAACGCTTTGGTTTTCCGGGGTGGAGCAAAATGACGTCAACTTTAGGGTAAAAATGAAGGCAGGCCCAGGTGATTGGCCCAGGGAGAGTCCTTGGTGGGAGCTCAGTGGTCCTGTCTTTATTGTGCACTGTTTTGAAAACATACTCTCGGCCACAGCCTAACAATTTTAATTTTCATATTGATACTAGTTATTGAAAATTCCAAACTGCCAAGGTATAATGTTTGGTAATGGCAGCAGCATCTTCCTAGAAAATTGTGTTTCTAAAATATGTTGTTGTAATCTTACATTTGAACCATATGTTTAGGACTTTACAAAGACTTGTGGTATTTCTTTTCTCTTTGGTTCTCAAGAATCCTTTGAGGTAGTTAGCCTCCCTTTTTCAACATGAATTTTGTGTTCAAACAAGGAATATTAGTAAACTAGGTCATCAGGCCAGTTGTTAGAAAAATAACTTTAAATTTTTTATTTTTGCTACATTACGTTCATGGTGTATTAAATGGTAACTTTAAGCAGAAAAGGTATGATTTTTAGAGAACTTGCAAATAACACATGAGGAATTATGGTTTTTAATAGCTTAGAATTTAACATCTCTCTGAATTGAAATATGTTTATTTCCTCCATTGTCCTATGAAAAGTAAAATAAATAACAGCAAAAGTAGTGTCTACTTTTCTCACTCAGAATATAGCACAGAATTAATCCCAATCAGTGAGTATGAAGTTGGGTTAATAAAGATAACTGTGTTCAGGCTAGCTTTTCTTTTTTTTTAAATACTCCAGAAGGTAGAGGATGAGATTGGGAAAAGTAGGATTCATGGTTTATGATACCCCCCCAACTCTGGAAAAAGTGGCTTTTGTCAGAGAGAGGTGTGGAGCCCTTCATATAAGATTTAAAAAAATAATTTATAAGAATAAAAGAATTCTTTTTCTCCAATTTAAATGACATACACTATTGAAAAATTGCTTTAAACAGTCACCTTCCATCAGATTTTAAAAGAGTGACATCAAATGCACTGTTTAAAATTGTTCTTTTATAAATCACAAACTTGAGAGAAATGTGATCTTTGTATCAAGTATTTTGCATTCATAATAGATCATAAGCACCTTGTGTGAGATGCTTTTGGTAAGGGAGTCACACGAAAATGTCAGCATTGAAATGCTGGCTTCCCTCTTGCCTGTCCTGGGAAACCCAGGGTCAGACTAGAATCAGGCATACCCTGAGTCTAGCATGGAAGGCTGGGGGCATGAGGATCTTTACCAAATGGAAGGAAAATCATAAGTCAATACCGTGAAAAGCAATAGTCTCTTTTGGGGAATCAAACGGCCTGGAGTGGTTTTATAATGACCAGTTTATATTCATTATTTTTCTCTGCCTTGTATCTGTTTCTTCCTTAGTCAGTGCTTTGGCAAAGGTCTTAAGAGCCATTTTCTTTTATTAACAATGACAGCAATGATTGTGGGTGCTAATTTTGTGCTTACCAATGTTACTCAGTTTGATTTTTACAATAACAAACAGTATAAAGCAGAAACTTTACTGTCTTTATAAGCTCAGAGGCATATGGGAAGTTGTCCCAAGGTTGTTCATTCAGGTAAGCGATTTGAACCCAAGGCTGTCTGTCCCCATAACCTGCCTATAACCATTTCATGAGACTGCCTCTCCTCATACTTTAAATGTAATGAATAGAACAAAAACAGTTCAGAGCCTTTTCTTTAGTGATACTTCACACTGTATGTTTTTAACTCAGTGTAATATCCACATGTATTACCTGATATTTGCCCCTAAATTGGCCAGTGACAGGGGAGATGATATTATGTTGGTAGATAGGGGAACAGGCACCAGAAGTCCACTTGGCTTACCTAGAGTCGGCTCGTTAGTGATAGACCTGCCACAGTGACTCCTGCCTCTCAGGTCTCAACCTGGGGCCCTGATTCAGCCTTGTTGATTACCGGTTCTAAGCCTCTGGATCAAAGAAATGAAGTAACACTGTAAACATCCTGTGGGTGGGATTTAAAAAGCTTACTCCCTCTAGCATCACACTGATATCTGAGCAGTCAGCTGTAGAATACCCATCTTTCAATTTTAACTTTCTCCATGGTTTTTGCCCAACCTCTTGGTTAAATAGGGGTTGATCATTATTTTTCCTTCTTTCTTAAAGATGGTATGATTTGGCCCTTTAGGGTATTTGCAACATAAAACTCTGAAATATTTTTTCTTTTGAGAGTTCTGGTTGTACATGTAGCTGTAACAAATAGCCTTTGCTGCATTCGAATCTCCCTAGAGATGACTGTGGTCGTTTCCACGCTGGATCTCCTGTCTGCTCAGATGGGCTGTGTTGCAGGAACTTCTTTCTTATTGAACACATTTATGTCTGTCTGTCTTAGGTCATCCATATGCCTTTGCAGAAATTTTTCAAAATGCTTCTCCTTTTAAGGTCTAGAGCCCTTCAGGATTGGACCGTACACCAACTTTGTTAACATCGGAGAGCGCTGTAATGTTGCAGGATCAAGGAAGTTTGCTAAACTCATCATGGCAGGAAACTATGAAGTGAGCATCTTAATAAGACCCCTGAGACATCTGCCATGTCTTTGGCTAGACAGCATGTAAAATGAAACAGCTCTCTGCCTTTGATAGTGTTATTAGCAGAGCTGCTAGGTAGTGTGAGAAGATGGTAATGTGCGTTTGCAGCAGGCTGGGCTGGTGGGAGGACAAGCCTTTGAAAAACCTCAACTGCTGTTGTCAATATTTGTCAAAAAGTGCTGCAGTTGGTGTATGAAGTAGGATGAGATGGGAGGGATCCAGGTTCTAGCTGTTTCTATTAATTATGAAATAAGTTAAAAAAATTGAGAAGGCCTTTTATTTTGTCTTCTCATAAATCCTTCCAGGGAAAGGAAAAGACAAGAAAATTCCTGTCAGTTTCTTACGACCGCATCAAATGTTGACTGTTGAGGGTATTGATCTTGTTAGCTATAGACTAAAATAAACAAACGAAAGAAATAGGCACTTGTCTTGGAAAGTTTACATGATAGTTCTAGCCCTGGTGTTTTTAAGCTCATTCACTCTGTGGTTGAGCAAAATTTAATCCATACAGAGCATATCCAAGACTCCTGGATAGATTTTCTTATGAAAATGTGAATGTAAAAATGGAGGAATTTGGTCTGGCTTTAATGATAATTAACTTTATCATCCAACTTTTCTCACTTTAAGGTTTTGCAGCCTTTAGGAGATCTTCCAGAAACCAATACCAGAGTTGATTTAGTTTTCTTAACAAGGAAAGGACCCATTTATCCCCCTTCATGGATCTGTTCATCATTACCCGATGGCATCCCCGGAAGTGTGTCTTCCTTCTCAGTCCCTCAGCTGGCACATTACCAGTGCCTGGTTGCCCGGTTCCACCACTCCCCCTGGCAGTCCTCTTCCCCTCATTCTTGCTGCTGTCCAGTGCTCCTATATGCATCTATCATGGGCCTCCCCAGTTCAGAAGTTCCACAGGTTGACTTTTTTTTGGATATGGGATAAAACTGAGATTCCTTAGTCAGTCATTCTGTGGTCTTCACTTAGGTATTAAACTGCCCTTCCATCCTGATCTGTCATCTGAACATTCCAAGAGGCTCGCTTCTGACTGTGCCTTTGTTCATGTTTGCTTCCTTCTGAATTGCCAGTGACTCCTCCTAGCCATAGTGTTCTTCAGTTGCCCATGTTTCTATTATGTTTTGATTCTTATGCCTGGGGAATGGTGTTCCTTTCAGCTCTTGGATTTGACACTGAGAGCATTTTAGGAAGAAGCAAACAGGTGGAAGTAATAATATCTGTCATTTAGTAGGATCTTTCTGTGTGCCAGTCACTGTACTGAGCACTTTATGTCATGACTTATTTAATCATCACTGCCTGGTAGAGATAGGTACTGTTGTTATCCCCATTTTACAGATGTAGAAATGGATGCTCGGGGAGGTTAAATGACTTGCCTATTGTTTTACAGCAAGTAAATGATAGAACCCAAGTCTACCAAGCGTGTGCCCTTAATCACTCTGCTATCTCTGCCTAGTGGAAACAGTAGGGGGGGCAGTAGAAACAGGTGGGAACAGGTGACTCTTCACTAGAGTCTAGCTTTTATGACTTAGTGATCCCCTTGTGGCTTAGTAGAAAGAGCGTTGACCTGAAAGAAGTTCCAGTCCTGTTTCCTGGCCTAACTCATACGTCTTTTAAACAAACCACTTCATCTCTCTGAGCTTGTTTGTGAAGGTTAGACCTTGAAGCTGTTATTCCATGATACTTAAGAAATAGGTCAGATATTGGCATTTTCATTTTCCAGGTCTTTTGACCTCTGTTGCCTACTATCTTATCTCCTGTCTGTTTGTTCCAATCCATCCCTCATTAGCCAGCTGAAGATGCTCCCTCTCAGTTAGCTTTCTCCATTTTGGTTCGTAGAGACCTTTCCCTTTCCTAGATGTTGAGATCATCTTGGCATTTGACCCACACATTGTATGGCAGTGCCTGTTAGTTTTTTATGTGACTGTGACATGTGCCCCCAACTAGATATAAATTCTTTAAGAACCAGGATTGTGATTTGCACTTATTTTTATTCTTTATATTATTTAAAGTAGTACTGATACTAGAAAACATTTTTTGATTTACCGAATTTATTTATTTATTTAGAGACAGAGTCTCACTCTCTCACCCAGGCTGGAGTGCAGTGGCATGATCTTGGCTCCTGCAGCCTCCACCTCCAGGTTCAAGTGATTCTTCTGCCCCAGACTCCAGAGTAGATGGGACTACAGGCAAGTGTCCCTGCGCCTGACTAATTTTTGTGTTTTTAGTAGAGACAGGGTTTCACTATATTGGCCAGGCTGGTCTTGAACTCCTGACCTCAAGTGATCTGCCTGTCTTGACCTCCCAAAGTTCTGGGATTATAGGCATGAGCCACTGTATTTGGCCCAGATTTAATGAATTTAATTGTGATCCTTTTTCTCTGTGCAGCCTTGGCTCACTACATACGGTATTTCCTGATACCATGGGGTTTCATGCCTGTTCTATCACAATGAGTGTTAAAAGTTTCTGTTTTATTTTCTTGGGCTTAAAAAAAAAAAAAATCAAGACAGCATCTACTATTGATTTTATCCTTGCTTATTTTATTGCACTATGAAGTGTACAGTGAAGACTTAAACAAACAGAAAGTCTCGCCATGTTAGTTAGAAAGTATTATGGAACATGTATATTTTACCCAGCATTCAGAGTGGGAGGTGCATACGACTTTTAGGAACACTTATCCTACAAAATATTCCTTACAAGGTCATAAGTGGGAAATGCTGAATTCAGTTTTGGGAAGGTTGCAGTGTGTAATAGTGCATTAAATTTGAAAAGCTTTCCAGTATTATAAAAACCTGCTGAAATTTATTTAACTTACATTTCTTTTCATGTAACTCCTATTAACAGCCTGGAATGAATCATTTCGGCAGATACTGAAGCATTGCATAGTTTTTGGCAAATACTGAAGAGTTATATCGTTTGGATGGTTTCTCTAAGGACTTTTTGGGGGAGTTGGGGCTGGGTCTTAAATAATGTGGAAGGGAGAGGGATTATGTTCCAAGCAGATGGGACAACATGATGTGCAGCACAGAGGTGGGAACAGACTTGGCTGGGTGAAGGCTCCAGTGGGGTTAGAGTGGGAAGTTTGATTCGGTAAGATGATGGGGCCAGCTCAGAGGGCCTTGACTACCAGGCTGAGGAATTTAGAATCTTTATGGTAGGAAAACAGCCTTGGTGGATTCTGAGCAGTAAGATGATGTAATGGAAGAGAGATGTGTAGGAAAGGTGAATTTGTGATGAGTGATGGGAGGACAGCAGGCCCAGAGTCAGGGAGCCTGGCTAGATGAGTCTGTATAATTTGAAAGGATTGCTGGGATGGGTAAGGAATTGGCTTGTTAGCCTTTTTTCAAATTATTGTTTCCTAATTCTGCTTCCTCTCTCTTTCTTCCTTCAGGAAGCCTTGTGTGTTGCCAAAGTGCAGGTGGAAATGGGAGCCCAGGTGCTGGATATCAACATGGATGATGGCATGCTAGATGGTCCAAGTGCAATGACCCAATTTTGCAACTTAATTGCTTCCGAGCCAGACATTGCAAAGGTTATTACAAAGTTTATATTTGTCAGGGAAATTTACTTGTTGTCACTTTGTCACTCATTTAACTTTGCCAGTTGTCCCATCAATCTGTGAACTCCAGAATTGGTTTTCTGTTTCTTGACATTGAAAGCACAGTGGTTTCTGATTGTCAGCTTGCTCAGATAATGATAACCTTTCCATATAAAGCAGATCTTGGAGATAGCTGTGGCTTCAGTGTGGCTGTTTCCAGGCCTTCTGGGATTATTCATGAGAACTGAGTCTCCTCAGATGTCTCGACAGACTAACAATCCACTTTCCGTATCTGTGAAGGATATACTTACCCATTTCTGCCAAATTCCTACCATAGGCAAGGGAACTCAATGAATTCTTTCTTACAACAGGAAGGAGAAAACTTTTAGGTTTATCAGATCAAGACAAAAATATAAAACACGATTAAATCAAGGTATGATGTCAGCTTTTACATTTGTTCTTTAAAAGGTGAAAGTTGGTTTTTATGTCAGTCTTTTAAACATTTTTAAATGGGTCCTGAAATTTTTAAAAATCCTATGCTGTTTTTCTGCCATTAAGTTTGTCATGAGGAGTGAGTCCTCCCGGGCCCCCAGACAGGGTTTTGCTCTGTGGCCCAGGTTGGAGTGCAGTGATGCAATCATAGCTCATTGCAGCCTCAGACCCCTCCCTCTTTAGCCTCCTGAGTAGCTGGAGCCACAGGCACGCATCATTTAAAAAAATTTTTTAGTAGAGAGGGCAGGTCTTGCTGTGTTGCCCGGGCTGGTCTTGAACTCCTAGGCTCAAGCCGTCCTCCTACTTTAGCCTTCCAAATTGCTACGATTACAGTTGTGAGCCACTGTACCTGGCAAGAAGTGATTTTTGAAGTTCTTTTTTAAAGAAACTTCCTAGTTCTTTAAGAGCTGCATTTTTCAGGTTGAGCTGTTGGTTTTTTATTAGGCTTCAGCAAGTTTAAGTTAGAAGTCTGTGTTAGGTACTGAATTACGTTTACCCAGCTTTCATTTGTGTCTTAAAACTTTTTACTAAAAAATTTCATCATTCTTCTGGGAATAAATATTTTGAGAATTTAAGGTACAAAGAAGCAAAATAACTTATTCAAAGTTAGTCAGAATCAGAGGTATAGCCAGTTGTTTATCAGCTTAGTAGTGGGAAGAGGGGTAGACTCACCTTGTAAGGCCCAATCAAGTCAGTGGACAATTGATCCTACTTTCTTTCCTCATCTCTAAAACGGGATCATCAAGCCTCCTTTGTGAGTTGTAAAGAAGGACCCCAGTTATTAGTGATCTGATTGCTACAATAGTTTATCTTTTTTGGTTTTGCCTTACTACCACAATTTATTGAAGGCCAAATTTTGACCCATGGGGTAAATCATAAAATCATTTTACCAACACCTTTTCACCAGTAGGGTTGGAACACCGAACTATCAACAAGCAAATGCAAGCCGATACACTGGCCTGGTATTGTCATTGCATTAACCCTTTTCCTGGTAAACCTCTCATTACTAGCAAGCTAAGAAAAAGCAAAATTGATAGAGTGCCTGTTCTTTTTTGCTCTCATTTGGTGGTATAGCTTAGGAAATTTCTGACTATTCATTCTTCGGTCCTCAGTTGAAATGTTTTCTGCCCTGGGAAGCTTTCCCTGAATTTTCCCACCCCGTTCTCCTTGCTTCATAGACTGGGTTTGGTGCCCCTGAAATATGCTTCCATGGCAGTTTGTGCTTCTTTTATGCTTTTAGCATTTACCGCACTTTGTGTCATTACTTGTTTAATCATTTGTTTTTATGAGTTCAGTGGAGCTAGGGACCTGTCTTTCTTACCATTTTCCCTGTATGGGCGTAATATGGTAGTCACTTATTTATCGAATGGCTTAATTAAATAATGTGGCCTATGCTGGGAGCTGTGGCATGTGCCTGTAGTTTCAGCTACGCAGGAGGTTGAGTAGGGAGGATCACTGGAACTCAGGAGTTCAAGACCAGCTAGGGCAACATAATAAGACCCTGTCTCTAAAAATATAAAAATAACGCAACCTAGATTAGTTGCCTTATTTCATTTCTTTGTATCAATCTCATTCTTCAAGTCCTTCCTTTCACCTTTCCTGGAACAGAGGTATGAATTAAAAGGAATGTATTCTCACCTGTGCATTTCAGTTTTGTCCTTTATTTTAGTTATATGCATTTGTTGATTATTAGATTTACTTTTCCTTTCTAATATTAAAACTCTTCTTTTTTTTCAGCAAAGAACTTGATTTTCTAAAGGGAAGGTTGAATTTGAATAACTTGGCTAGAGGGCTACTCCCAAAGGACACAAGGCTAAACACAAATCCCTGAGTCAGATCAGGGATATCTAAATCCTATTTGAGGTGTTTGCCTCCAGGCTTATGCACTTGAAAGTGTACTGTACTGAAGCCAGTGAACTGATCACACTGATTTTATTCTGATGTTCAGCTGTGATCTTTAAGTTATAATTCTTTGGCTGATGCGTGGCGTATCTTGTAAGACTGAAATTACTCCAAGCACTTTGGGCTTAAATAACAAGTATATTAAAATTCTATCTCTACATACTACTATTACTTGTTTATTGTTTTTCCAAAGAATAAATAGACAATACTTTGGAGCCTTTGAAAAGTACTTTATAGTGACTTGTGGCGTCTCTGTGATTTTCTTGCCCTTTGATCTCAGGTACCCTTGTGCATCGACTCTTCCAATTTTGCTGTGATTGAAGCTGGGTTAAAGTGCTGCCAAGGGAAGTGCATTGTCAACAGTATTAGTCTGAAGGAAGGAGAGGAGGACTTCTTGGAAAAGGCCAGGAAGATTAGAAAGTTTGGAGCTGCTGTAGTGGTCATGGCTTTTGATGAAGAAGGACAGGTGAGTGATTTCTTTTGGCCTAATCCATTGTGTTACCCAGGTTCGATAGCAGTGGGAGAAAATGCGAGTCTGAAACAGCTGCATACATACAAACATATGTACATATATATCTATTTCTATATACATTCATACACATATGCGTACATGTATCTATATACACCCATACATCATGTGTTACTTAACAGTGGAGATACAGTCTGAGAATACATCGTTAGGTGATTTTGTCATTGGGCCAACATCACAGAATGTATTTACACCAACCTAGGTGGGATAACGTACTACACACAGAGGCTGGATGGCGTAGTGTATTGTTTCTATGTTATAAACTGGTATAGCATGTCACTGTACTCAGTACTGTAGGCAGCTGTAACACAGTGATACGTATTTGTGTATCTAAACATATGGAAACAGAAAATTTACAGTAAAAGTATGGTATTATAACCTTACCGAACCATTGTTGTGTATGTGATCCATCATTCACTTAAGTGTCCTTATGTGGTCAGTGACTGTGTATGAAAATCCGATATATAGTAAAGTCTTTGTGTTCATGGAGAAAAGTTGAATTATTCAGTAAATGCTATTGGGATGACTGGGTATGCACAGAAAAAATAAAGTTAGACTCCCATTTCCAGCCATATACTAAATACAGTTAGCTGTTTGCAACATGAATAATAGCAGTGGGTGACTATCCCTAATATGCAACGAGTTTATATGAGCCAGAAAGCAAAACACCCCAGTCAACCCAATGGGAAAATGGACAAAGAAAATGAATAAACAGTTTATATAAAAAGAGATAATAAATAGCCAGTACACTTATGAGAAGATACTAAGTTTTGTAAGCATTAAAGAAATAAAAAATAAATAATGAGATTAGTTTTCTTTATCAAATAGAAGAAAAAATTAGAAGATTGATAAATGGCAGCCTTCATAATATCTCTGCCATAGAATCAGGGTGGGGCACATGGGAAACTTCAAATGTAATGGTAGTCCAACCGTGTGATACATTCATTATTGTTATGTTGTATACTTCACATAACTTTTAACGAATATTTTGGTACCTATTTAAAACCACAAAAAAACCTATTTCTTATGCTTAAGCCCCTCCTGGGAATCTAGTGATAAGATTGAGTATATAAGGATATGTGTTCACATTAATTGTAGCATTGTGCTAGCACACAGCTGAGGATACACTATTTTTTTTTCTTTTTTTGAGACAGTTTCGCTCTTCTTGTCCAGGCTGGAGTGCAGTGGCGCGATCTTGGCTCACTGCAACTTCTGCCTCCTGGGTTCAAGTGATTCTCTTGCCTCAGCCTCCTGAATAGTTGGGACTACAGGCGTGCGCCACCACGCCTGGCTAATTTTTTTTTAGTAGAGACAGGGTTTCACCACTTTGGTTAGGCTGGTCTCGAACTGCTGACCTCAGATGATCCACCTGCCTTGGCCTCCCAAAGTGCTGGGATTACAGGCATGAGCCATCGTGCCTGGCGTTGAGAACACTCTAAATGTCCAATCCTAGGGGAGTGCTTAAACCTTGGTCCTTACTGCATAGAATACTGTGCAGAAGTTGAAAAGAATCAGGAGATAGAACCATGTCTTCAATATATTGAAAAATGAAAAAAATGAGTGACAGAATCCCAATTTTACTTAATATAAAAGTACTTACATTTATATGTGTGTGTCTGTATAAGCAGAGAAAAGAATGGTTGTCAACTGAGGGGGTAGGGATGGTCTGAGATGGGGATGGTCTCAAATAGGGACATACTGACAGTTAACAAGTAGTAAGATTATACGTACTTTTTCTTTCCTTTCTATTTTTGAAGTAAAATTTTTTAAATGTATTATTTTTTGTATGAAAGATAGATTTTCTTTCATTGTGAAAAAATTCAAATGATCCAGAAGAATGCAAAAGAGATAATTTTTATTATTAACATATATTGAACCTTAATTCACACCAAGCAAGTACACAACACACTTAAATCTGTTCTTCCTCCCAGTGCATAAACTGTGGAGATGTGTTCCTGTTACTTTTGGATGTCATGTCAGGACACTAAAGCACAGAGATGTTCCAGGACTTGCGGTTGCCACACAGCTAACAGTTTGCAGTGCTGGGAGTCAGGCCTAGGAGATGTGGTTTCTGTCATCAGGACCTGTTTTAAATGGTTGAGTGAAAGGCTGTCAGGGAAAAGTTGGCCTGTTTAGGACAGGTGATCTCATAAGACCCCTCTGAGGAGGGAATATCTGAAAACCAGAATAAAATGAGAGAGCAAGCTACATGGCCATGTGGAGAAAGAACAAAAAAGGTTTCAGCAAATGGAAAGTTTTGTTTCAACGAGATTATACCTGCTATTCTGCAACTCTTTTCCCCCACTCAACATAATGTTGGCATTTTCCCGTTTTACTGAATAAGGATTAAAACTCCATCTTTTATGGATACATTGCATCCCAGTATGTTTTAATTACTATCTATTATTGAATGAAATTGTGTTTCTAATTTTTTAGTAGCATGAACAGTTCAGTAACTAATGAATATCTTAATTCATGCAGCTATTTCCCCTTGTGGAATGATTTTTCTTAGAGTCAGTTCATTGAAGTGGGATTGCTATGTGAAAGAGTGTGCACGTTTACTATTTTGAGGCACATTGTTAAAATTGTCCATCTGAAAAGTTGTATCTAGTTATCTTCCAGTACATGTTTAGTGTGGTGGAACCTTTTGGTAATTCTGCAGATAGACAAATAGTTCTGTAAGGCTTCTTGTGAAAAACAAAAGTCCTCAGCCTTCTAGATCCTGAGGCAGCCACTTTCAGCTTTCTAAACTGATTCTTGTAGCATCTACCTCGTCATCTTCAAATTCCAGTTTTAGTTTTTATTTATTGACATCCTACAGTGATAAAAGATTTTTTTAGCTTTTCACTCTCTACAGCTTTACTTTTAACCTCCCCGATATAGTTCATTTGAGCTACAATCGTTTTCAGTGGTTACATTATTTTACAGTGTAAAAGCTGAGACATGCAATAGTATACTGTGACTGCTTATCCTTTCTCACTATTTGTTTTCTACAGAGATAACGCTTATCTTTTTGTTTGCTTCGTTTTCTATGTATTTTGCCTTCAGATTGTCCCCTAGATGTATAAAATCTCCAATATCCAATGTAGCCAAACTCATTAAGAGGACTGCCATTTTGCTTTTTTGGAGAATTCTCCCTCCAAGTCTTCCGACGTGACCTGGAATGTCTGCTCAGTAGGCCAGCTGCACAGCTGTCACTGCTAGCTGTCCCTTACCTTCCTGCTGGGGTTCCATTTTCCTTTCTCTTAGGTTTTTAGAACTCAAAATTTCCTCATTCGTGGTTCATCCCTTTTTCGGTCATTTGGTTGAGTGCATCCTCTGGTAGCTTCTTGTGAAAGAAAACATGGCAGTAAACATTTTTGAAACCTTACATGTCAGAAAATGACTCTGTTCTACTTCTACACTTAATTGGCAGTTGTTTGGGCATAGGAGTACAAACTTGAAGCTGTTCTGTGTTTTGAAAGTACTGCTCCATTGTCTTCTGGTTCCCACTGGTATTGGTGAGAAGTCCAGTGCTATTCTAACTCTTGATTATTTTTGTGAAACTTGTTTTCTATTCTCTGGAGGCTTTGGGAATCTTTGGTCTCCACCATGTTCTGAACCCTCAAGGTGATGAGCCATCCGTTATGCTGGCACTCAGTAGGCCTTTCAGTTGTGAAACTCACAGCTGCAGTGGTAGAAGTGTCCTTGAATTACTTTGTTTTCTCTTTTGGTACTTACATAGTGGAGATGTTGGTTGTGTTGGATAGGTTGCCTAATTTTCTTATATTTCTCTCCTATTTTCCAGCTCTGGTGTTTTGCTCTGCATTGGGTGAGATTTTCATATCTACATTTATCCTCCAAACCCTCGATTGAGTTTTATTTCTTCTTTTTCCAGAAGCTCTTTTTTTGTTATCTGAATGTTCCTTTTAAAAATATATGTAGCAACTTGTTACTTTTTAATGAGGCAAATATCTTCAAATATATCCTGAGCACTTAGTATGTGCCAGGCCTATTCTAAACTCTGAGGCTACAGCAGAGAATAAAACCTAGTCCCTGTCCTTGTACAATTTATATTCTTAGGGACAAAGGGAATAACAAATTAAAAAATATATACATATATTATATATATATATGTACATATGAATAATTGCCCGGGTGCGCTGGCTCACGCCTGTAATCTCAGCACTTTGGGAGGCTGAGGTATGTGGAATACCTGAGATCGGGAGTTCGAGACTAGTCTGGCCAACATGGTGAAACCCCGTCTCTACTAAAAATACAAAAATTAGCCAGGTGTGACACATGCCTATAATCGTAGCTACTCGGGAGGCTGAGGCATGAGAATCACTTGAACCCAGGGAATTGATGTTGCAGTGAGGTGAGATCATGCCATTGCACTCCAGCCTGGGTGACAGAGTGAGGCTTTGTCTCAAAAAGAAAAAAATAGAGTAAACAAGTATGTGTGTACGTTGAATGGTGTTGAATACGGTGAAGGGAAATGAAGAGGACAAAGGGGATGGGGAATGAACCCCCTCCTCTGTGTGTAGGTGAGTGAGTGTTATTTTATGTAGGAGAGTTTGGGAAGGCCTCATGGATGATGTGACGTTTTAGCAGAAACCTAGGTGAGTGAGCCATGTGAAAATGTGGAACATGTAGGGGAAGAGTGTTCTGGGCAGAGGGAGTCTTGAAGTAGATACATATTTGTCATGTTTGAAAACCATCAGGGAAGCCAGTGTAGCTGGAGCAGAGGGGAGGGAGGAGATTGGGAAAACACACAAGGTGAGAAAGGTAGCAGGTCAGGTCACATAGGGCCTTGTAGGCCATTCTTAACACTTTTGGTTAACGTTACTCTGAGTGAGCGGGGACACCAATGAAAAGTTTTGAACAGAGGAGCAAATGTGATCTGACTTATGTTTTAAACATCTCTGGTTCTTCATGGAGAATGGTCTGTTACATGA